CACGCTGAGGGGTGGACTCCACCTCTCCCACACTCCTGTTCCTGTTGATATTCCTCCCATGAGTCCCATAGGTTGGTTCTTCATGGCACCTAGAAGGGCGACTCCTTTCCAGGAAGTCCCCAGCTGACTTTTCCCAGATCCAGCAGAACAATCTCTGTCTTTGGCAGCTGCAGCCTTGTGAAATGTACTGTATGTTTTACTTTTATTTCAGGTGCAGGGGTACTTGTACAGGTTAGTTATATATGGAAATTGCGTGTCTCAGATGATTTTGTCACTCAGGTAATGAGGATGGTACCTGACAGTTTTTCCAGCCGCTCCCTCCCCCCACCCTCTACCTTCAAGCAGACCCTGGTGCCTGCTGTTCCCTTCTTTGTCTCCATGTGTCCTCAGTGTTTACCTTCCACTTATAAGCAAGAACATGTGGAGGTTTTTTGGTTGCTGTTGTTGTTTTTGAGATGGAGTCTCGCTCTGTTGCCCAGGCTGGAGTGCAGTGGCACGATCTTGGCTCACTGCAACCTCCACCTCCTGGGTTCAACCTATTCTCCTGCCTCAGCCTCCCAAGTGGCTGGAACTACAGAGGTGTGCCATCTTGCCCGGCTGATTCTTGTAATTTTAGTGGAGATAGGGTTTCACCACTAAACCCCATGGTCAGGCTGGTCTTGAACTCCTGACCTCGTGATCCACCTGCCTCAGCCTCCCAAGATGCTGGGCTTACAGGCGTGAGCCACTGTGCTTGGCAGTATTTGGTTTTCTGTTCCCGTGTTACTTCACTCAGGATTATAGCCTCCAGCCCCATCCATGTTCCTGTAAAGGACATGATCTCATTCTGTGTGGCTGTGTAGTATTCCATGGTGTAAATGGACCACAGTGAAATGTATTTCTTCAATAATAAGATTTGAAAGTTGAAATGACTCTTTGATCCGCGGGTTGCAGAGTGGACGCTGTGTGAGCAGGCATGAAAAGCACGTCCTTGCACATCTCCGTCACAGCTCCTGTGCAAACAGGTGCATTGCCCGTGAGCAGTCATATTTTGAAAGGAATCTTTTCTGAAGAGCAGTTCTCAATAGTGGGCTTAAAATATTCAGGAAACCATGCTGTCAACACTTGTGCTGCTGCCCGGGCTTTGTTGCACGTCTAGAGCACAGGCCCAGCTGATTTAGAACAATTCCTAAGAGCCCTGGGATTTTCAGAATGGCAAATGTGCATTGGGTTCAACTTCCAGTGACCAGCTGCACTGGCCAGAAAAAGAGAGTTCGCTTATTCGTTGAAGCTTTGAAGCCATGCAGTGACTTCTCTCTAGCTCTGAAAGTCCTAGATGACACCTTCTTTAAATAGAAGGCTGCTCTGCCTGCACTGAAGGTCCATTGTTTGGTGAAGCCACCTTCATCAGTGATCTCAGCCGGATCTCCTGGAGACCCTGCCACAGCTTCTCCATCAGCTCCTGCTGCTTCACCTGCAGCTCTCGTGTGATGGAGACGGCGTCTCTCCTTCAACCTCGTGAACCGACCTCTGCTAACTGCGAGCTGTTCTTCTGCAGCTTCCTCACCGCTCAGCCTTCATAGAAGGAAGGAGAGTCGGGGCCTTGCTCTGAGTTAGGCCTTCCCTCGAGCGAATGTTGTGTCTGGTTTGATCTACCTCGACCCCAAAGCTCCCTCCGTATCAGCAGTGAGGTTGCTTCCGTTTCTTGCCATTCATGTGTTCACTCGACGAGCAGTTTTCATGTCCTTCAAGGACTTTTCTTTTGCACTCACAGCTTGGCTAGCTGGCACAGAGGCCCAGTGTTCGGCCTGCCTCAGCTTCCAGCCTGCCTTCCTCACTCAGCTTCATCCTTCCCAGCTTCCGATTTACGGACGTGAGCGTCTTCCGTTCACTCGAACACTTAGAGCCCTCTAGAGGGCTATTAACTGGCTTAATGCAAATATTTTTGTGTCCCAGGGAACAAGATGCCCAAGGAAAGGGAGAGAGACCGTGGGGGGGAGGGGAAATGACCAGTAGGTGCCTCTGTCAGAACACATCCAGAATTTATCAGCTCAGTTCACTGCCTTCTATTGCTGGGGCTCGTGGCACCCCAAACACGTACACTGATCGCAGATCACCATAACAGCCAGAATAACGAGAGGGCTGAAATATTGGGAGAATTAGCAAAATGTGACAGAGACCCAAAGAGGGCATGTGCTGTTGGGAGTATGGTGTCGATGGGCATCTTTGACTTGGGGCTGCCACAAACCTTCAGTTTGTAGAAAAAACCAAAAACAACAAAAAATAAAAACTGTGATATCTGTGAAGAGCAGTAGAGTGTCCTTCTTGGGCCAGGAGTGGCACTTGCCATTTTTCTAGAAATGCATCCACTGTATCTCAGATTCTTCTGTGAATATCTGTACCTGACAGTATCTAGTGGGCATTAGGGAAAGACCCTGGGCCAGGCGCGGTGGCTCACGCCTGTAATCCCAGCAACGCGGGAGGCTGAGCAGGGAGGATAGCTTGAGGCCAGGAATTTGAAACCAGCCTGGGCAACATAGCAAGACCCTGGTTGTGAAAACTTTTAAATTAAAAACATATAATAAACAAAGAGAGGGAAAGAAAGGCCTGGGCTTAAGGTAACAACAGAAATGATCTCAAATGATCTATAAAGAGAAAATGATTGAAAAAACAGAGAGAACAGCAGCGATCCGTGGAGTAATGGAAGACAGCCTGATGTGCGTGTATTGGGCTTTGTGAAGGGCAGGAAGAGAAGCAGCACGGTAGGAGAGCTGGAGGAGCACTTGCTCAAAGTTTTCAAAATGTGATTAAAGACTGTAAACGCACAGGTTCAGAATCTCAACGAACCCCAAGCAGGAAAAAAGAATGCCATCAAAGAAAACCATTCCCAAGCGTATCATAATCAAATGATTAAGATGACGAAAGGAAAATCTTACAAATAACCAGAGAACAAAAGTCATGCTATGTAAAAATGAACAAAAATAAGTGGGTAAGTGGATTTCTCACAGAAACCGTGTGAGCCAGAAGACAGTGCAGACTTCTCTAACGCACTGAAAGACAAAAAGATCAACTTAGAATTCTACACCTAATAAAGACTATCTTTCAAAAATGAAAGCAAAGAAATAATTTTTCAGTCAAGTAAAAGCTGAGAGAATTTATGGTCAGCAGACAGCACTACAACAAATATTAAATAACTTTCTTCGTAAAGAAAGAAATTACACAGGTAGAAACATAAACCTACACAGAGAAGTGAGGGAAACTGGAAATGACAAATATCTGTGTAAATATAAAAGCATTTAAATAATTTTGTAAATGTAAAACATAGCTTCTCAAAGGAAAAAATAATATATTAAAATTTACAATAATGAGGAAGTAAAAATGTCTGACAACAGCACAAGGAACAGAGGAGGGGAGGTGGGAGCCGCCACACTGCCCCAAGGCTCTCACGCTTTGTGTAAAGTGGTTTAACAGTATTTGAAGTCGTATTGTTACAGTAAGATGTATTCTATACATTCTAGAACAACCACTAAAGATAAAAGGTATAGCTCATAAGCCCAAAGCTCACTCATATCTATAATCACATTAAATGTAAATGGCCAAAACATTACAATTAAAAGGCAGAAATTGTCAGATGGATTTAAAAAAATCAAGACCCAGCTATATGCTGTCTACAAGACGCTCACTTTAAAGACAAAAACAAGGTAGATTAAAAGTTAAAAGATGAGAAAAGATACACCATGTAAACATCAACAAAAAAATCTGAAACTGCTATGTTAACATCAGTAAAGGTTGATTTGAGAATAGGATATATTTTCATGGATAAAGAAGGACATCTCATAATAATAAAAGGTTCAATCATTCAAGAGAAAGTAGTGATCCCCAATGTATAGGCACCTAACGACGGTAAAGGGCACGTCACTTCCAAGTATACACAGAACTATCACCAAGAGAGGCCATATCCTGAACCATAACTCCCAATGCATTTAGAAAGACTGAAATCATTTAAAAGACTAGAAATCAATAACAGAATGATGTGTGAAAATCCCCAATTATTTGGAAAGTAACCAATACACTCCTAAATAACTAACGGGTCAAAAAATAAATCACAAAAGGAATTTAAAAATATTTTGACCTGAATAAAAATGAAAACATAATATTTCAAAACTTTTGGGATGTAGTTAAGCCGTGCTTAGAGAAAAACTTGTAACATGAAATTCTTATGTTGGAAAAAGGGAAAATTTTGCAGGTAATAATCTATACCGCCTTCTTTGAAAACCATAGAATGAAGAATAATTTAAGCCCAAAGTAAGCAGAAGGAAATATTAAAGAAAATAACAACAAAAAATAAAATAGAAAAACAATAGAGAAAAATCCATAAATCCCAAAGCTACCTCTTAAAAGGCTTATTGAGAAACCTCTAGCCAGACTGATCTGTAAGAAAAGAGAGAGACACAAATGTCCAGTGTCAGAAACGAAAGAAGGAGCATCACTAGTAAGCCCACAAGCAGTGAAAGGATAATAAGAAGGTATTATGGACAACTTTATGCCAATAAATTAAAAAACTAATATGAAGGGGATAAATTTCCAAAAGACACAAACTGCTAATGCTCACTCAGGGATAAATAGGTGCAGATGACATATTCATGTATGTAGGAAATCCAAACAAAACTACAAAAACGCTACAAGAATTAGTGAGTTTAGCAAGGTCACAAGATAGAAGGTCAGTGTATCAAAATTAATTGGATTTTTAAATCCTAGCAATGAACAACTGAAAATTAAAATTTTTAAAAATTATAGAATAAATATATTACATACTTAGTGATCAATTTAACATTAAAAAGTGTGTAAAGCTCATGTCATACACTGTAAACTACCAAATATTGCTGAGGCAAATTAAAGTTACTTACATGGAGAGATATAACATGTTCATGGATTGGAATGCTCAATATTGTTAGAATGGCATTTCTCCTGAAATTGATCTATAAATTCAAGGCAATACCAATAAAAATATCCCAGAATGCTTTTTTTTTTTTTTTAGAAGTTGACAAGTTAGTTTTAATGTTTATGTGGAGATGCAAAGGACTTAAAATAGCCTAAAACGTTGTTGAAAAACAAGACAAAAGTTGGAAGACTTACACTATACTCATGGCTATCATAAAGCTGTAGTGATCAAGACGGCGTGGAATTGGCAAAAGGAGAGACACACAGATCAATGGAACAGAGTCCACAAATAGACCTACACATATACGGCCAATTACTTTTTGACAAGTTTGCCAAAGCAATTCAATGGGAAAGTCATAAACTTCTCAACACATAATACTGCAACAATTGGATACTTAAATGCAAAGAAATTAACGTCAACCCTTACCTCACACCACATAAAAAAACTAACTTGAAACAGATCCTATATCTAAATATAAGAATGAAAACTATAAATATGCAAAACAATGAAGAAAACATAGCAGAAAATCTTGGTGACCTTGAGTGAGGCAAAGCATTTTTTAAACAAGGCAAAAACAAAAGCACGAATCACAAATGAAAAAAAAATAGGATGTTGCTAAAATTTAAATGTTGGTTCTTCAAAGGATAGTGTTAAGAAAATGACAAGGCAAGTCAAATACTAGGGGGATATAATCACAAACTTTCATCAGTCTGAGAAGGAGGTGCTGGATGGTACCATATCTGGAACACGGAAGGAGAGTCCTGCCTAAGGTCCTCATTCCCTCAGGCCCCCTGCCTCAGCACGGCCCCGTGTACTGCTGTTACACTGAGAACCATTTAATTTTTAAATACAGCCCCTTTTCCCAAGCCCCTAAGCCTCTCACAGGCATATTCATTGGCAGAGGGGCCTGGGTGGATGGGATGCCCTCTCTCTGGACCACAGCCATCCCAATGGGCATGGTTCTGGCCATCACTGAGGCAAAGCAGGCAGGTAAACCTTGGTTCCCCTCCTTGGTCCCAACCCGAGGAGCAGCTGGCTCCTCTGCCAGCATATGGACCCCCACAGACCCTGGTCCTCTTAGGCCCCATTGCCACCCAGCAGGCATACCTCTGGGATGGGCGTGGCTCCCCACGGCTGGTCAGGGTTGGGCTGAGAGGCAGCTGGACCAATGCTTAGGGCATCTTCTGGAAGGAATCCACCTTCCAAGAAAGAGGGTAAATGATCACAGTATGGTTATGCTGGCAAAAATGGGAGAAAAAAATAATGTTGCCTTTATAAGGGAGTCAGCTGAATATTTTACAATTCTTCCCCAAATCAACTAAGCCATTTTCACAACATAAAATGAGCAAAAAATGTAATTATTTCAAGGTGTCCTTCACCTCGAACTCACTTGAGGCCCACAGCTTAGGGGTTTTAAAAAATACACATATTTAAAGCAAATATTATTGCAAATGACTACTCTGTAATTTGGATTAATTGCTTTCGGTTTTTTCTGGAAATAAAATCTTTAAGGCAAACTCATAAAAACCCTGGAGCACAGGGCAGCTGTTTCTGCAGTGCCTCATTTCAGAGAGTCCAGTGCCTCCCCACAGGGGACCATGTTGGGTCACAAAGTTGCCTGTTTGCCAAAGACCCTGGGGGTACCTGTGCCACCCTCATCAGAGGCCAGCCCCCACCACAGTGCCCATCACACCTGCTGGCATGGCAGCCTGTGAGCCTCAGGGGTGGCCCCAAGATGCCTACCCAGGTAGAGTCCAGGAAGGGCCACTGCTTCCTCTCGGGGGTGAGGTCAGGGGCTTAGCTGGGCCCTGCTGTGTTGGCTTCAGGGACTCAGCCAAGGGAGATGGGCAGGGCCGGGGAGAATTGGCTCTGGCTATGCCTGACCTCACAGGAAGTGTGTGGCTGTCTGTGTGTTGGGGCAGTGGGAGGGTGGAGCACAAAAGGGGGTTACAGGAAAGACCCTCCCACTCCAAGCAGCTTCCAGCATTTCCCATCCTCCTTGGAACATCCCAAACTCAAGCCTTTTTCTGACGTAGGATCCTGGCAAGACCCTGTTCCAGAGAGGGCCCTCAGGAAAGCCATGAGGTGTGTGTTCATTTTCAGGAATGAGTTGCACAAGTGTGTTGCAGGGGGCCCAGGAAAACGGATATGGCAGGGTCATTCAGACATCTCTGGGGACCCTGGGGAGCCGTTTCAGCAGAATGAGGGACAGTGGGCAGAGTGTCTGGCAGGGCAAGGGCATGGATGCCATCTGCTTGCCACTCACCTGTTTCTATAAAGCCCATCACTTTATTTGTTCTGGGCAGCAATCCTGAGAGGTGGGTATCACCTCTCTTTCTTGGGTCCTATGCCCAGGGTCACAGGACTGGGAGTGACAGACTAGGGACTGTTCTTGAACCTACAGGTACAATAAATGGAGATGAGGAGGATCAAGTGTCTGTCCCTGGAGCGCTCCACCCTGGGTCAACAGAAGACATGGATCAGACCTGCTTGTCAAGGTGAAACTTACCACTACGCACAGCTGGGCACAAGAACAGAGGTCTGGGGTCTCAGGGCAGCTCTGTGGCCAGAGTGCTCTGTGCCTTGGAGCAGATGCCATTCTCCTACTAGGCATCAGTTTTACAATCAGCTCATTGAGTGGAGGGGTTCATCTATCCATCTATGCACCTATACATCTGCTCATCCATCTATCCACCCACCCATTCATCCACCCACCTATTCGCCCATCCATTCATCCAGCCACCCATCCATCCATCCATCCACCCACCCACCCACCTGCGGTCACCCACCATCCACTCATCCCTCCACCCATCCACCCAACCATCCATCCATCTATCCATCTACCCATCCACCTACCCATCCACTCATCCATCCACCCTACATCCACCTACCATCCATCCACCCATCCACCAACCCACTCATCCACCAACTCACCCATCCACCCAACACCTGCCCACCCATCTATTCACACACCCAACCATCCACCTAACCATTCACCCATCCATCCACTCGTCCATCCACCCAGCACCCACCCACCCACCCACCAACCATCTGTCCATTCATCTATCCATCCACCAACTCACACATCCAACCCATCCACACAACACTCACCCACCTATCCATTCACCCACTTGCTCATTCATCCACCTACCTACCCATCATTCATCCACTCATCCATTCATCCATCCATCCATCGACCCACCCACCCCAGCATCCATTCACCCAACACCCACCAACCCATGCACCTACACATCCACCCACCACCCATCCATCCACCCATCCACCCACCCACCTACACACTCACCCATTCATCCACCCAACACCTGCCCATATATCCGTCCATATACCCACCCCACCCACCCACCCATTCATCTCTCTATCCATATATCCACCCACCCACCCACCCATCCATCCATCCATCCACCAACTCATCCATCCATCCATCCATCCTCCATCCGCTCACCCACCCCATCAACCCAACCCCCACCCAACCATCCACCCACCCACCCACCCATCCATCCATTCACCAACTCACCCATCCATCCATCCTCCATCCACTCACCCACCCCACCCACCCATCCACACATCCACTCATCCACCCAACACCCACCCACTGATCCAACCATCCACTCACCCATCCATCCACCAACACACCCACCCATCCATCCATCCACCCAGCACCTACCCACCCATCACACACAACCATTATCCATCCATCCTCCATCCACTCACACACCCCACCCACCCACCCATCCACCCAACACCCACCCACCCATCCACCCATCCATACATCATTCCACTCACCCATCCATGCATCCCTACACACACACACCCATTATCCATTCATTCATTCATCCACCAATCCACACCCCATTCTTCATCCATCCAACCTCCATCCATCCATCCACTTTTCACTCATCTTCCATCCATCCATCCCACAATCATTTATTGATCATCTTATGTGTGCCATGCTCTTCTCTATGCACTGGGAAATAAAGAAAAACAAAACAGGCAAGAAGCCCCCCTCTGGGTGACACCCTCAGAGTTGTGCTGGGTGGGGAGGTTCTGGGACCACCAAGAAGCCTTTGAGGTGACAAGTGTGGGAAGAGGTGGGGGCAGTGGACAAGAAGGCAGGAACTGCCCTAGACGGAGGAGCTGCCCCTCCTGTGGGGATTAAAGCCTGTCTGTGTCCGGGCCCCTCCAGGCCACCTCCCTCAAGGAGGCAGAGGGGCATGGGATGTGGGAGCAGAGCCAGCTCATCGCAGGGTGTGTGGGAGGAGGAGCCTGTGTTGGCTGCTCTAGCCTGAAAGGAATCAGGAGGTGTTCAGGCGCCTGTGGATTCCCAGGACTGTGGAGTGGCCACACCCCTGCCCCGGAGAAGATTGGGAATCTGCATGTCCAGGCCAGGAAGGACACCAAAGGTGCACCCTAGGCTGAGTCTGCATGGGAGTGGCCAGAGTGCCAGTCACGTGATGCAGGACAACTCAGTCTTAAAAAGGAGGGAAATTCTGATATGTGTGACAACACGGCTGAACCTTGAGGACATGAGCCAAGTGAGAACAGACAGTCACAAAAAAGCAAATCCTGTGTGACTGCACTTCTGTGAGGTCCCTGGAGTGGCCAAGCCCATGGAGACTGAATGCAGAATGGGGGGTGCTGGGGGCTGGGGAGGGACAATGAGCAGTGACTGGAGATGAGGGTGCCAACGGCTGCACAGCTGAATGAATGTGCCCAACGTCACTGAATGCTACACTTAAAAATGGTTCAGATGTTAAATTGTATTTGACCTCATTTACAAAGACCCAGCCTTTGGGCTGTGCACTGTGCATGGAGTGTGATCCTTAGCCCTACATGCAATGACCCTCTCCTTTACAGTGGTCACATCTACAGAGGGGGGACTGAGGCCAAAAGTGCTGTGACCAGCTCCACCCCAGAGCGAGGCCATGATGCAGCCAGAATCACTCCAGAACCTGCACACCCACCACCTGCCTACCCGTTGGGGCTGGGAGCCTGGGACCAGATGCCCGTGCCCCCTCCCTTCCAAACGTATGGTGTGCTGAGAGCATATGCCCAGCTGTCCACACCCCAGCAGAAGAGAGACAAACTCAGAAATCAAAGCGATATTTAGAAAATGCAGTTTATTTAATGTGCTGCAGGAAGCATTCCCAACAGTGGGAATATGGAATGCTCCTGGGAAGTAGCCGAGGCTGAGCTGGTTCTTGAAGGACAGATAGGAATTTCTTCTCATGTTTATTTTTGTTTTGAGAAAAGATCTCACTCTGTCACCCAGGCTGGGGTGCAGTGGTAAGATCTTGGCTCACTGCAACCTCTACCTCCTGAGCTCAAGAGATCCTCCTGCCTCAGCCTCCTGAGTAACTGGGACCACAGGAACACACCACCACCACGGTGGGCTAATTTCTTGATGTTCTCATTTTTAAAGATTGTAACACTTCTACCACTAATATATAGTCAGTGGACAAAAATTAAAATGCAGAGAAACATAACAGAGAAAAAAGTTTTAATATTCTCAGATTTCATTACCCAAGGAAAGCCACTGTTAATATTTCAGCTGACACTCTTAAAGGTGGACCCGTCAGTATGGCGATAAGCATGCACTCTTGTCACTATGTTCATTGCCTATGCAACGTTCCTTTGTAGGAAACACAAATTGCATTTGTTAGCTGTTTTTGTGGCTAGAAGCAGGTCATGGGAGAGGCTCTAGAAAGATCACTGATCAGGACCCAAAGAACCCTGTGGAATCAGAGACCCTGTGTGTGGACACTGGGTGTGGTATCAGGCCTGGACCTAAGAATGGACATAGTGTTTCTAAAATAGCTACAAAAGCCTCTGGGTTAAGATGGCAAATTGAACACACACCCATTCAATGGTGTCCCCTCTGTAAGCTCCACTTCAACCACAATAAAGAGATTGTAAAAGGCATCTACCCGTGAGGGTGGGCCTCCTTTCTGAAAGCTGAATTGCTGATGGACCTGGGCCTATGGCAACTGGGTCAGAGACAAGAGAAAGTCCTGACTAGAGAGAAAGAAGGTGATATTTTACCAGCTTTGTAACCAAGGGGAACTCCAACACTGAGGGCTGGGTGTAAGAGTACCTCTAGGACTTGGGGTGCAAGGGTGGCTATGATCAGGAAGGCTAGAGTGAAAGGGGCCTATGACCCAGTTAGATTCCTATACCCTCCTTATCTTCCCTGAGTGACCACTCCTCCCCAACGCCAGCAAAAGTCCAGAAGTTTATTTCCCAGAATTCAGGCAGCTGACTTCAAAGACCCTTTCCTTCAACTCCACGTTGACTCCAAGAAGACTGGCAACCAGACCCCTCCCTCACTCCTTGGGTAACTTCTCTGGTAATCAGGTCGGTTCCTAAAGATAACTGGCATCCAAGGTTCTCAGGATCATCCCCATCCATGAGGCTCAAGGACAATGTATCCCTCCTTTCTCACTGTCAGATCTTCTAGTCAGCTCCTCATCATGGGCAGAAAGCATAGGATCAGCAGATGCCTCAGGAAAGACATATCGAAACAGATAGAACAAAGCCAATTGGAGGACACACAGATTAAATGGCAGAAGAAAGCTCATATAAGTATCAAGTTCAAAAAATAAAGAAGAAAGAAAACAGAGAGTAGGAAGAACTAACAAAGCATTTCTATACCCAGCTCAACTATCCTTCTGGTACTGCAGAAGTCCTAAAATATGTATCTTCTATGCATCTTTTATCAGAAGTTACCAGAAGATATGCTTCATGAAAATGAGAAAGTAATCCAACAAGATACGTAGTCTGTAAAGGTAGCAGGAGATGCAAAGGAATTTCCCTAAAGAATGGCCACGGGCAGGACATAGAAGGCAGCCAGTCCATGTTGCCATGAGTGGCTAAGGAGCCAGATATGTGGACTGCCATTACCACTATTCTGTGGTCATTACTCTCTCATTCTCATGTAGGTGAGGCAGGCTCAGATTCTTACCACACCCTGAATGTCTTGACCATGGACAGATGAAATCCCCATTTCCTCCCCATATTAATTTCTGGTGGCTGCTCTAACAAATTACTACAAACTTAGCAACTTCAAATAGCACATACTTACTAGGTTTTGGTTTTGTGGGTCAGAAGTCTAAAATGGATCTCAGTGCCCTAAAGTTGAGGCATGGGCAGCACTGCCTCCCTTGCTGGAGGCTCTAAAATCCATTTCTTTGCCTTTTTTTTAGCTTCTAGAGTCTGTATTCACCCATGGCTCACGGCCCCTTCCTCTGTCTTCAGAACCAGCACAGCCGGAGGAATCTTCCTCATATTCTCACATTTCTCCTCTCCATCCTGACCCTGACTCTCCTGTCTCCCTCTTCCACTTTTGGAGCCTTGTGACCCTTAAAAGTGGAGGAGGGAGGCAGGAGAGTCAGGACATTAAGCCCACTCAGATAATCCAGAATCATCTCCCTACTTTAAAATCAGCAGAGAGTGCAACTTTAATTCCTTAATTTGTCCTCCCACTGACGCTACGTGGTTTCACCTCCTCCCCTCCCTGTCCTTCTGCATCAGCCACACTGGTCACTGGAGCCTCAGGGCCTTCACAGTGGCTGTTCCCTCTGCCCCACTGCTGTTCTCCCAGACACGTGGGTGGCTCCCTCATCACTCCCTCATGTCTCTGCCCAAATGTCACCACATCAGTGAGGCCCTTCTTGAACAACCGATTGAAATTTGTGCCTTCACCTCTCTCCTCCTTTGTGTCCATTGCACTAGAATCATCTAGCCTGGCACATCAGACCCTTATGTATATTGCTGCTTTCCCCATGAAAACATGAGCTTGATGGGAGCAGCGTCTGTCTCCATCACTGTGGCAGCCCCAGGGCCTATGGCTGTCCCTGGCACATAGCAAGCATGAAGCATGTTGCGTGGACAAATGGAAGCTTCACTGCAGCCTGGTGGACACCTGCCCCTATTAGTAAGCCTGACGTCCCACTGGCTTCCAGCTAATGGTCTGCTGTCAATGCCTGGTGGGTTGGAGCTGGACTCTGGTGTGGCCCATCTGTTCTGGTGTCTTCATTGGCCCAGGGTGCCACTGCCTCTACTTCCACAGCCAGGCAACCACAAACCTGCCTCAGTCTGTATGGATTGGCCCATCTTGGACATCTCAAAGAAATGGAATCACAAAATGTGTGACCTTTTATGACTGACTTCTTTCAGGGAGCATCATGTTTTCAAGGTTCATTCACGTAGCAAGTGTCAGATCTCCACTCCTTTCCATGGTGACACAATATTGCATTGCAGGGATAGGCAGCATGTGCTGATGTTAATGTTCCTCACTCATTTCAATTTGGTGAAGCTTCTGCAGATGTGTTACTCTGCAATGAGACGCACTCTAGGTTCTGGGAGACCTGGGAGGACGATAACTTCTGCTGAGGTTTGCACAAATTCTTAGGGAAGGTTCAACAGTCCTAATCTCAGACTTATGGTTTAAAAGCAGTCTATGGAGTTAAAACCATTTTCACCATTTGGACTTGGCTCTGTGGACTGGCCCAGGGAGAAACCTTTCTGATGTCCTGGGCCAGAGTGAGAAAAGACAGCAGCAAGGATGACCGAACGGGTTTTTCCTACTTAGCAAAAAGCATACCCCATCAAAGCAAAATCACTGAACACGGATTTGACTGGGAAGGCGGCCTTCAATGAATGACATCATTCCATGAACATAAATCTTAGTTTGTATGATTTATTTATGTTAAAAAGTCCACAAATGATGCTGGGTTTTCGATAGCTTTGTTTAAATGATAGTTTTTCCTTTTTAGTGAACGTTGGAGCGATGATAAGCAACTCCAGCTGTAAAAATGAAAGGCAGAGGTGAAGCCGAGGTGATTATTACAGAAAAATGCTAAGTGGGGAGGGGTATTTGGCCCTTCCATCCTCTAAAATGAAAATTACCCTCTGCCACAATGTGCCACGAACAATTACCTGCTGTTTATTAATTAACCTCTTCTAAAAGCACCGCATTTGTACAGAAACTGTTATTTCTCTAATGTGAAAACTGGCTTATTCGTGTTTATTGGAACGACAATGTCCCATGTGGTCCAGGCTTAGTGCACACGTAACTGACACGTATTTTTTTAATGGCACATTTGGTGATTGAAAATACCTTCCCAGAAGAAGCCTCAACACTCAGCACAACTCGCTTGGTGCGTCAGTCCCAACCGAGCCCCCAACGCCCCTGGCCGGAGCACAGGGTCTCTCCCTGACCTCAGCAGCCGCAGTGCAGTCCTGGGTAACTGCTCCAACGGTGGTGCTGGGAAGGAAGCGGGCTCAGGACTTGCCAGTGAGAGGCGGATTCAGGAAATACAGACTCCAATGGCTGAGTCATTCTGGACCCTGGCAGGTAAGTGTATTGGTCATTGTCAGAAGCACACAGGTGACCGAGAGGCCAGAGTACCCTCTGGGTGGCATGACTGCAGTGGGCTCTCATGGTGCTCACACTCCTAGCACCTTAGGAGCCCCAGGAAAGGGTCCCAGGCAGAGATGTCTCTGCAGACGAATCTCTGCCACCCTGCACACCTTGGAGCTCAGCATCCCTGCAGTGTGAGTCACCTGGGGCTTTGTGGTCAGGGAGCTCTTCCCTGAGTCCCGAATCTGCTTGTAAGGGCAGGTCCTTGACTAGGTCACTCAGGCCTCTGAACATCAGTTTTCTCATCTGTAAGGTGGGCACAGCACAGCACCCACCTCACAGGACTGTGAAGGCCACACAGTTCCCAGCTGCAACCCAGGGGTGGGAAATGAGCAGGGCAATGCCCAGCACCCTGCCTGGCACAGCACCCGGGCCAGGGAGCCTGTGGAACTCTCGCTCTGCCATGGTCCCTGCCCCCGCCCCCATCCCACTGGGAACCCCTGAATAAGCCAGCTTCTTTTTTCAAACACAGCGCAAGGGGGTTGGGCAGCTGCTCACTGCTGTATCTTCGTCACATGGTGTTGGCATTGGCTTACTGAACACAGGGCAGCCCTCTGAGACCTGATGGATGATGGAGGCTACAGAGGGGTGGCTCGGCCTCAGGCACTCAGCACAGTCCCTGCCCCAGGCTGCTGCCTCCACACCCGCCGCAGCCTGCAAGGTCGCCTTCATCTCCCTGGGTCTTCCCCTGGGCTGAAACTGCCTGGGGAGCCCTAAGGGAAACACTTGCTCAGCTCTCTTCACTGAGTTGTGACTCATCCATTCTTTCACTAAGGACAGGGCACAGCCCAGCCTTGGGCCAGGCTCTGGAGCTTTGGAGAAAGTGAGCTGGAAGCTCCAGGTCTGATGGAAGAGACACCCTCCTGCTTCACTCACGCCAAAGACGGGAAGCTCCAGGAGCTCTGAGCCTTGCAATGCCTCCCGCGAGAGCGAAGGAAGGAACGGGTGAATGGAAGCCAAGCTCGGGCTGCAGTTGCCAGGAGACCAGCTGGCCCTCGGACACCCACCGCCACCTGCCACCCCACTGGCAGCACCAGGGCAGGACAAGGTCAGGAGGGTGAGGCTTAACTGGGAGTTCAGGGGCCCCAGAGCCAGTTAAGGCCTTCGTGGATGAGCAGAGCAGGTGGCTCCTGAGGCATCTGTCCTCACGCCTGGCCCCGACTGGCCCTCTGTGTGTCCAGCCAGGAGGTGGTTACCTTCTAGGGCTCCAGCTGACAGCCTCTGGGAGCAGCCCTGGGTTCTGCAAGAGGGCAGGTGGGAGGGAGAAGGGCTCTCGCCCCTCTGGGAACCTTCAGGGCTCCAGGAAACGCAAGCCACTGGCCTGGGAGCTGTGCCCACCACGGGGCCAGGCTCTGCTGCCGCCCATTCTACCTTGGGAAACTGGACTCCCAGGAAGTTGGAGGGGTTGCCCGAGGGTCCCAGGGGTCAGGAGGCAGAAGCTGAGCTTGAGTTTTTCCTGTCTCCCCGCTCCCCGAGCTGTCTGTGGACCCTGGAAGCCCACCCCTCTTCTCCTCTGCTGAATACCACCTGGGTGTTCCCCTTGTAATTCCACTGAAGCCATGGGGGAGGGGTGTCTCCCCCTCCAGGGAGAGGCTGCTGAAGGCTGGACCTGCCCTGTTTACCCCAGTCCCCAGGGCAGGACCCCAGGTCCCCAGAAAGGTGACCTGTGGGGGCTGTGGGGGGCACTATTCTTCACACAGGGGTGCCCCTGCCACTCAGGGCCCCTGCCTTAATGAGGGGGCCCAGGGACCCAAGATGTGGGGGGGAGGGCTCCCCACAGCTTGGCATCTGGTGAGGGACTGGAGTCCCTGAGTTACTTATGCCCGGCTGCTCTCTCTGGCCCCAGGGGCCTGAGTGCCGGGGTTCTGGTGGCAGGGCAGGCAGCCCTGTCCTGAGAGCACGCCCGACTGATTCCATCACCTTCAGGTCAGTCTAAAGAATTGGTCATATTTCCCTGCCTGGGGCGATCCTGGTCTCTGCTCTATTCTTGCCAGCTCTATGAGCCATGTCTCCCCCGCCACCGCGATTACTGGATTAGTAGAAAGCAAAGCACGGAGGGGTAGAGCCTTGGGTGTCCCCCTGCCCCCCCCACTCCCCTCCCCTCCTTCCCCTAGGTCCTGCCCTGGGAGGTGGGAGGCAGGGAAAGTCTTCTCAGACCACTGCCCCCTGCTCCTGCCACCACACCTGCTCTGTCTACACCTAGCGGGGTAGTTTGTTCAGATCCTAAGCCTCAGCTCCCCAGGCCTTGCTGCGGGCCCCGCCCAGATGTGTGAGGACTTAGCTGCCACCGGTTCCAAAAGACCTAGTCCTCAGAGGTGGGCAGGGTGGCGACAGTCCCTTCCGCTAGCTTCGTTGTGTCTTGGGCGCGGGCCTGGGTCACCACTCCTCCCCCACCTGCTTCCACCCCCGCAGGCCCCTGGCAGCTCCTGCCTCTTCTCCAAATCTCCTCCACCCTCTGCAGGGTTTGGGGTGCTGCGTGGTGCCATATCAGGTTCGGGTCTGCGTGAAACCTCCGGGCTTCTGGAGAGGAAAGGGACCTGAGAGGAAAGCCCAGGGTGGGCCAGACTCTGTGCTGCCTGGGTGGGAGGATGGAGACCCCCGGGGGCGCATTGGAGCCGGGCCTTCCCTCCTCCTTCACCCAGCGAGTGAGCAGAGTTCCGGGAGCGGCGGGGAGGGGGAGTGAGGGGAGGAGACCCGGACCTGCGGCCGGCTCTGGAGCCAAGGTGGGGCGCGCCCTGTCCCGCAGGCCTTTGACCCCGCCAAGCAGCCAAGCAAACGCAAACGAGTAAACGAGGCCCACGGGGTGGGCGGCCTTGGGCCTCCGCCTGGAGGCTTCCACCCAGCCACTCTTCCCAGCCAACCCTGCAATAGCCCCCCGGAGGAGGCAGGTACGCCTGGCCCCATTTCACAGACGGGGAAACCGAGGCGTGGGGAAGAAATCCACCGCAGCTCCGTCTCCACGGTTTCACCTGTGGGGTATTAATCTCGCAGGGTCAAAGGCAAAATTTGGTTTTCAAGCTAAGAGGGCGGGCAGAGTGGGGCAGGGAGCGCAGCGGAGGGACGGGAGGAGGGGGCCTTGCAAACCGAATGTGGATTCCGGAGCCAGCCGATTCGGAAACCCTCTTGGCGACCCGGCCGCCGGCCCCTGTCCCGGGCTCTAAGCGTTTGGGGACGCGGAAGGCGGGATCCCACCTGGCGACTCCCGGAATGCGGCCGCGGGGCCCGGAAGGCTGCGAGGCTCGCTATTTCGTTGCTGCCCGCGCGCGGCCAAAACTGGGAGCTGAAGGCAGCGGCCACGTCCACGCAGGCAGCGTTCTGGAGCGGGTCGTGCCACCTCCGCCGCGCGCAGTTCCCCGCCGTCCGCAGGACGCGGGCGCTGTGGGTAACGAAGTTGCTCCTCCCCGGCGAGCGCAGGTCGGCGGCTCCGGGGCGGCGGGCGGCAGGAGGGGACCCACTCCACGGCTGCGGGCGCGCGTGAACACACGGCTCCGGGCACACGCAGCGCATCCGGGCAACGGCATTCGTTGGCGGCTTTTTAAAGGTTCTGAGATCAACAGGGAAAGCGTGGGAAACCGATTCCCTGTATCCTCCCAGCGGCCGGGACGCTCGGGGTTGCAGACACCCAGCGGCTCGGCCACTGCAGCGCCCCGGCCCACTGTGGGCCGCACCTGGGCGGGAGTCGTTCGGCGCTTCTGCACCTTCTCAGTGAGCCGGGTTAAGCCGGCATCAGGCTCCCTCCTGCCCCAACGTGCAGAGACCCAGGGAGTTCAGGTTCACCATCTCCACCTCTTTAACAAAACAAGCCAAAAAACTCCAGGGCTCCAGACACCGGGACATCTGCACAGAAGAGCCAGGCACCTAGCGGGGATGCCGGGACAGGAAGTGGGCAAAGGGACTCCACTAAGGCGGCCACGGCATGGTGCCTGCAACGGCCCGGCGGTCCGCGGAAGCAGCCCATCTGCAAGGGACAAGGCTCCCCCTGCACTCAGAAGACGTCGTTTCCACACATCTGGGGTTTGTTGGAAATCAGGGACAGGGCTCGCATTCCTGAGAAGTCCACTCCTCCCAGTTCCCCACTCTGGGAACAGGAATCAGGTATCGGCTTTGGGAGGCCCCCACCTCTGAGCAGCACAGGGAACCGAGCCCTGCCGCTACTGGGCCAGAACTGGGAACTGTGCCCTGTCCTCTCCAAGAACTCTGGTGCACAGGAAGCTTTCCCAGGCCTGGGTGGGAGGAAGGTGAAAAGGAGCCCTGAAATATTGACCCCAGGGTCTGGGGGGATTCCTGTGGTCCTGGTGTGCGGCTAAGGCATGACACTGGAGAAAGCGCCCGCTTCGGGTCATTCCAGAGGCCTGAATAGGGAAGAAATGGCCTTTCCGATGGCCTGTTCTCCCCCACACACCCACCATTCTAGACCAAGCACAGGCTCCTTCCAGCACTCAGCCCCCATCGAGTCCCCTGCTAGGTGTGGGGTCCAGCAGCCCTCCTCCATGTCCCCTCTGTTTGTGGGATCAAAGGCAGCCTTCCCCAAGGGCCTCTGTGGTCTCCTGCCTCCTGCTGCTCAAGTCTGGGAGACATTCCCACCAAGTATGGGGCAGGAGAACATGCCGAGAGAGCCACAGCCTCATCCTGGCCTGACTCAGTGGCCCAGGTATGGGGGTGGGGTGAGTGCTGGCCGTCTGGATCCTTCCTGGGGCATTTCCAATCTCCCAGGAAACCCAGATGCCAAACTAGAGGATATGTGCTTCTTTGCTACCGGAGTTTTTCCTAAAGGAACAAGGTCGGGGTGGGGAGTGAGTAAAACTTGCCCTGGAATTCAATAGAGCCTGAGACCAAGAGTCTGAAAGACCACAGCCAAGTTCAAAACGCACAGAGGACCAGGAGGGAAAGGGGTGAGAACAGATGAGGTCAGTTCACCTTGCTAGGCGCCATGCCCACTCCTGTCCTGCACACACAGCCCAAAGCAGGGCTCCCTGGGGCCTGAAGGGCTAGGAGGGGCGGCTGGGGCAGCTCTGACCCTGCCAGTTCACACGGGGCACAAAGTCTGGCCAAGCCAAGGAGCCCTCTAGCCCTGAATGCATTTGTAGACTCTGGGAGTGCATGGTAGGCCCTCTTGATAGTTTTGCTACTCAATGGGTTTCTGGGGATCCCCTGGGGCTTGGGGCCCTCCTATGCGATGTCTAGTAAGATACTTCCTCCAGCACTGCAGGACCAGCATTTCTGGCTTTCAAGCCTGGACTTTTCCCTAAGGAATTCACCTGCTCATGGGTCTATGGGCACTGGGAGCACTGGGAGTCTGCAGGGCTCATGGGTAAACGAATTTCCATGGCCTCCCTCCCTGCCCAGCCCCCAGCAGAAGGCAGAGGTAAAAGGTCCTCTCTGGCCTCCTAGACCCCAGCTATGAAGTTGGTTTTGGAACTTGACAGCAGCATGCAGCTGTCTAGTGTAGCAGCCTCTATGTGGCCAACCCCCATTCACTGTCTGTGGCCAAGACAAGGAGGTCACTGGGAATGAGCTCACAGCACTTACAGTCTCAGCGCAGGGGTCCTAGGACCTGGCATCAGCCCCAAAGCTCTGCAGAGTGAGACTTGGTTTGAAAACTGCCCTCAAACCTGTTACTATCAACCTTTTCCCCGCTGGGCCTCCACTTGCCCTGCTTGTTCCCCAAGCCCCCCAAAGCCCTTGCCAGGCAGGGACACGGAACTGCGTCCCAGGGAGGACCTGCATCTGCCCTTCCCCGCTTCACCTTTTCTCCCCACGGGACTCCTCAACGACGCCTGACCTGCTCTCCGCTTCTAAGTGTGGCCACGCGGGGGCAGGGCCTGGTCAGGCCAGGACGAAACCTCAGCCAGGGCCATGGCCTTGGGAACAGCCTGCCTGGGCTCCTCCAGCTGACTGGGAGACACTGGAGCCAGGGCTGCTTGGGCAACTTTCGGGTGGGCAGCTCGGCCATCTCCCTGGCCAGCCTTGACCAGCAGCTACCCCTCCCCTGGCAGAACCAGAGAAGCAGTGACCCCATCCCTACCCCACAGCCTGGCAAAGGGCAGGGACCAGACGGCACAGACCAGCTTGCTCCCACACCTCCTGCCCTTCTTCCCTAGGCCCTGGCAACAGTGCCAGGGATGGCTGTCCTGCCCTAGCCTGGTCAGGGTTCTGAAAATCACCTCCTGAGCTGGAGGAAGGGGCAGGGAGAGGGACCGAGAGAGTTGGGGCACCCCAAGAGCACCAGGGATACGCAACCTTGGCATCCGTTGGCAACCTCCAGGGCAAGGGAAAAGGAGGCCTTTGCTGGGCTGCAGGGTGAGGGCGGGGTAGAGACCCTCTCTGCAGATGGGAGTGCTTCGCGGGCACCATGGTAACTACCCCAGGCCTCCTTCGGAGCCCTTGGAGGCTTCAGGCAGGAGCAGGCAGGGACCTGGGGTGCCGAGTACGGGAGTGACCTTGAGTCCTTTGTAGCCAGCAGCTCCAGCCAGGCTGGGCCCACGGTCGGAAACCTGCCTTTGGCGGGGTTTAGGCAGGACAGTGCTTGTGTTCCTGGGCTCGAGCACCTCCCCCCACTCGGGTGAGCAGGTTCAGGGCCCCCCTTGGCCATCCAGGGCTACAGTGGTGCCCCAGCCTGAGAGGTAGAGCAAGACCTCCAGAGCTGGGTCGGGCGCTAAACACAGCTGTTCTGTGGTCCAGCCCCTGTTGAAAGACGGTCAGGGTGTGGGGAGGTCGATAGACCCTCGCAAGGATGGCGGGGACCAGGGCTGTGCCATTGCTGACGGCCCTTCTCTGGGGGACACTCACCTTTTGCCAGAAACAGCCCCTGCGGAGGCTAGGGAGCGCTTCCTCCGGCAGGGGCTCCGGCGGCGAGCTGGCTGCAGGACTGGGCACCCTGGACCCGTGGGAGCCGCATCGGGGTTCGAATCCGAGCAGGCAAGCGGTGCCGACTGCGGAGGATCCAAGGCAGAAGGCCCGGCACACACCGCCGCTGCCGGCTGCGGCCAACCCCGGCTCTGCTGGGCTTTTTCTCTGGGGTAGCGCCGACCCCGCGCCCCTCCCCATCCCGGGCGCCTCTGCTAAGACACCTGGGTCTCGGGGGTTCTCAGGGCCGCTGCGTTTCACCTCCTTTAACGCAGAGGCGTGGAGTTGCACGTGTGGGTCTCAGTGGAGCCGCCACAGGTCTCATTACACAACAAAGGGCAGGGAGGGCACGGCAGGAGCCTCGCGGGGCGGAGGAGAGACTCCCCGCACCGCGGGCGCAACCCCTGCTCCGGGCTCAGGCTGACGCTGCGGCAGCTCCCGGTCCCGTGGCCGGGCAGGACTTCGGTTCTCTAGGAGGGCGCGCAGGGGAGCGACTCGGGCAGGGCAGCGCCTCGGTTTCCTTCTAGTTCATTCTCGATTCCCAGATTCTCAGATGAGAAATCCGCACTCAGGCCGCCAGGCTCCTGGGCCGGGGCCACCCTGCCTGCACCCAGCCAGGCTCCTCCTCCGCGGCGCCTCGGAGTTTGGGGGCTGCAGGGGCAGAGGAAGCGCTTGGTCGGCTCCCGCCCGCGCTGCTCCACCTGCGCTGCCTGCCCTTCCGCCCCCTACGCACCTGGGCCCAAGAGCCCAGAGGGGAGCGTTCCCAGAGGCCCGGGTCCCCGAAGGTGGCCCAGCTCGGGCGCTCGCGCAGCCAGTCACTCACCTGGGGGCGCGGCGGAGCCCGACGGGGGTGCCGCGGCAGGAGCGCGCGGGCGGGGACGATCCGCCGAGGACGCCCGGTGTTCGGACCGCCGCCCCCGAGTGTGCCCCCGCGCGGGGCTTGTTGGCCTCCGCAGCTCCGCGCAGGACCGCGGGCGGCGGGTCCCAGGGCCGCCCGCCGGCCTGGGCAGTGGCGGAGCGCGGAGCTGGCGGCGCCTCTGCTGTTGTTTTTGAGCCGCGAAGCCCGAAGCAGCAGCCGTTGGGTGGGGGCGAAGGGGAGGAGGCGGGGGCCGGGAGGCCCGAGGGGGGCGGCGGGGCCCGGAGGGGGCTTCGGAGGAGCCGGGTTCTGGCGCGCGAACCCCGACGCCCCCTCCGGCGATCGCGGGGCGGGGACGGGGGCCGAGGGGAGAGAGAGGACGGGAGAAAAGCGGGCCGGGGCGACGGGGAACGCCAAGCTTTTTAATTAGTCATAAAATGCAGTAAAACGCAGCAAAACCCGCCCGGACCCGCGTCCGAACTCTCGGCGCGCGTGCCCCGAGATCCGAGGAAGTCGCGTGGAAAACCGCAGCCGCCACCCCGTCTTCGGCCCCGGCTGGGGCGGGAGCTGCAGCGCGACGCGACGCGAGGCAGGGGCAGGGTGGGGGGATAGTCACCTCGCCTCCGGGGCCACCTGGGTCCTTTTAAAGTGTCCGGGGTGCGGGCCCCGGGCGGGAGCGCCCAGCACGGAATGTTTTCTTAAAGGGCCAGTTACGAGCTGCGCTGAAAAGGGGGGGAGAGGGGGGAGAGAGAAGTGAGACGGAGACCGGGAAGGCCGAGGAGAGCCCCCCAATCCCGCGCCGAGGCGGCGGCGGCGGCGGCGGCGGCGCGACGATGAGGATGATGAATACATTGCAAAGTTTTTTTGGCCCCGGCGAGGGGTGTCAGATTGAGTGCTCTGTGCGCATGTGCGAAGGTGTCCAAACTGACAATGCTGGGGAGATGAAGATAGTGTGTGGCTGCTTCTGGACTCAAGGAGGAGGAGAGGGATTCCGCGAGCCGACACCATGCGATCCAAGGCGAGGGCGAGGAAGCTAGCCA